CAGAAAAGAAACTGCCTACCATCTCTTTGAGATACCTTATGTGCCTGTGGTTAAGTTATAACCTTAATTAAAACTTAAATTTCTCAAATAACTTAAAACAGAGCTACTATCTGACCCAGCAATTCCACTACTGGGTGTATGCTCAAAGAAATATAAACGTTCTATCAAAAAGACACATGTAGTTGTGTGTTCCTTGCAGCACTATTCCCAATAGCAAAGACATAGAATCAACCTAGATGCCTATCAACAGTGGACTGAATAAAGAAAATGTGGGCTGGGTGCGGTGGCTCATGCCTGTAATCCCAGCACTTTGGGAGGCAGAGATGGGTGGATCATGAGGTCAGGAGATTGAGACCATCCTGGCTAACATGGTGAACCCCATCTCTAGTAAAAATACAAAAAGATTAGCCAGACGTGGTGGCAGGTACCTGTAGTCCCAGGTACTCGGGAGGCTGAGGCAGGAGAATGGCGTGAACCCGGGAGGCAGAGCTTGCAGTGAGCTGAGATCGCACCACTGCACTCCAGCCTGGGCGACAGAGCGAGACTCCGTCTCAAAAAAGAAAATGTGGTACATATACCACAGAATACTGCAGCCAGAAAAAAGATGAACCCTCCCCACGAAATCATGGGTTTTGCAGCAACATGGATGAAGCTGGAGGCCATTATTTTAGGCAAGTTCACGTAAGAAACCAAATAGTGCACGTTCTCACTCATATAAGTAGGACCTAAACACTGAGTGCACATGGGCACAAAATGGTAAACAATAGACACTTGAGGGTGAGGGTGGGAAGAAGGTTAGGGTTGAAAAACTACTTATCGGGTACTATGCTTTTTACCTGGGTGACACAATCATTTGTACACCAAACCCCAGTGACATGCAATTTACCCATGTAACAAACCTTCACATGTAGCTCCTGAACCTGAATTAAAAGTTGAAAAAGCAAAATCCATATTTCTGAAAACAGTATGTTTCTTGCAAACAGCATATAATTGTGTCTTAATAGTTAATCAAATCTGATGAAGTTTGGCTCCTAATTATATTATCTAGGCTAACAGTCCCCAGTCTTTTTGGCACCAGGAACTGGTTTCATGGAAGACAATTTTTTTTTCACAGATGGGAAGGGGCAAGGGATGGTTTCAGGATAAAACTGTTCCACCTCAGATCATCAGGCAGTAACTAGATTCTCAGAAGGTGCACATGACCTAGATCACCTGCATGTGTAGTTCACAGTAAGGTTCGTGCACCTTTGAGACTCTAATGCTGCGGCTGATCCGACAGGAGGTGGAGCTCAGGCGGTAATGGTTGCTTACCTGCCACTCACCTCTTGCTGTGTGGCCTGGTTCCTATATAGGGTTCCTACCTAGGACTCGCTATATAGGTCATTTATAGTCAATGTAATTATTGAAATGTTTGGGTTTACATCTACTCACTTGCTATTTTTAAAATTATTAAATCCATTAAAATATTTCCTTTTTTTTCTTTTTTATTCTTCTTTTGGATCAGTGGACTTAACATACATAAATATATATATGTGTATATATGTGTGTATAATATATAAGTGTGTATATAAGTGTACAATATGTATATATTAAATATATATGTGTATATACACACACACATATATATACACACACATACACTTATTTACATATATACACATATATATGTAAAATTCCATTCTTTCTCCCTGTTGGATTATTAGACTTCCTCTTTGCATTACTTTTTAAAGTGATTGTTCTAAGATATATAATATATATCTTAAACATATCCCAACCTACCTTCACATAACATTATACCATTTCATGTGTAGTGTTAGGATCACACTTACAACCCACATTCCAATATCATTTCATGCTGTCCTTTATGTTTTGTGTTATTTCCAATGTGTTGTAAATCATATAATAAATTGTCATTCATTTTGTCTTAAGCAATTATATTTTAAAGAGATTAAAAAATAAAAAAATATTTACCCACATACTTAATTATCTTTAGTGTTTTTAATTCTAAATTTCCATTTGATATAACCTTTCTTTTTTCTGAGGAATTTCCCATAACATTTCTTATTGAGCAAATATGCTGATAAAGTTTGTATGAAGAATTCTTGATTTTATATTCATTTTTGAAAGATATTTTCTCTGAGTGTAGTGTTCTAGGTTAATAGTTTTTCTTTTCTTTTTTCTTTCCCCTCAATAAGTAAAAATGTTACTTCTTCGTTTTCTGGCTTGCATAGTTTCTGATGAGAAGTATGCTATCATTCTTATCTTCGTTCCTGTGTATGCAATGTCTATAATATTCTGTATATAATGTTATGGCTGCTTTAATAATTTTCTATTTGTTATTAGTTTTCAGCAATATGATTTTATTATTTATTTATTTATTTTGCTTGGGGTTCTTTTAGGTTCTTAGATTTGTGGGTTTTCAAACTGAGGGAAATTTTGGCCATGATTTCTTTAAAAATATTTTTTCTGTCCCTTCCACTCCCTTCCCCCAACTATCCTGCAACCCAAGTCCTGGGACCCATTTATGTGTATGTTCAACTGCTTGGTATTATCCTAGAGGTCGCTGATACTCTGTTCATTTTTTCTTTTTTCTATTCTTTATTTAGGATACTATCTATTGCTATGTCTACCTGCTTACTGATCTGTGTTTCCTAAAATTATAGTCTGATATTAATCTCATTCAGTATATTTTTCAGTTCAGGTATTATATTTTTTCATCTTTAGAATTTCAATTTGGGTCTTTTCAAAATTTTCCAGTTCTTTTTTCATTATGTTTATTTCATTCTTTGTCATCTTGAACATATGCAAGGTATTTAGAATGGCTGTTTCAATGTCCTTGCCTGCTAATTAGATAATCTGTGTTATCTCTGTTTCTTTCTATTGACTGGTTTTCTCCTGATAATTCATCATATCTTCCTACTTCTTGGCACGCTTAGTAATTTTTAATTGAATATTGTAAATTTTATGTTTTTGGCTGCTGCATTTTGTTTATTCCTTTACATAGTATGGGCCTTTGCCTGATATTTAATTAGGTTGCTTGGAATTAGTTGCATCCTTTGGAGGCTTGCTTTGTGTACAGCAGGCCCAGGGCAGCCTTCAATCTAGCTGGTTTAGTCCCATAAATAAGGCAATCCTTGCCTCAGGACTAGAGGGAATAAGTTTTGTATTACAATGACTTTCATCTTGGCTGCTGGGAAAATGCACTGTTTCCAGCCTTGTGTAAGATCCGGGAATTTTTCAGCCTGTTACTTTCTGGCAATTTGCTTCCCAGTCTTAGTTTCTCCTCACACATGAACAGATCAATACTCGGCTAAAAAGGTGAGAGGACCTCTCTGTAGAACTCCAGAACTTTTTCTCGGTCATTACTCTTCTCTCTAGTAGTCTGCTATGCAAAATCTTGCAGGCTTGGCCTTCCTCACCTCTGTACTTTCTCTTCTCAACTCAGCAAATCTGCTAGGCTTTCCTTGCGTTCCCTCTCCCGGCTGCGTTACCTGGAAACTGCCTCCCTGCAATATGCTGACACAATTGCTCAGTTCTCATCTTGTTTGTTTTCCTTTCTTCAAGAATTGCTGTTTCATGCTACATGTTATCTAATATCTGAAAACTATTTTTCCATATATTTTACTTGTTTTCCTAATTGTTCAATGTGGGAGCGTATATTCTGTCTGTGTTACTCCATCATGGCCAAAAGCAGACTGCCTCCTCTCTTTTATATTTTCTCTAGGAATGAAATTCTGGGTTGACAGTTCCTTTTTTTTTTTTTTTTTTTTTTTTTTCAAAATGTCATGTTGTCTGGTGTGCAAAGTTTCTGATGAAAAAGTGTGCTATATGTCTTATCTTTGATATTCTGTACATAGTCCCACTCCCCAACCACTTGCTGCCTTTAAGATTTTCTCTTTATCTTTTTGTTGTTGTTTGTTTTCTTTTTAGAGACAGAGTCTTACTCTGTCAACGAGGCTGGAGTGCAATGGCACAATCTCAGCTCACTGCAACCTTTGCCTCTCAGGTTCAAGCGATTCTCCTGCCTCAGCCTCCTGAGTAGCTGGGACTGCAGGCACGCACCACTGTGCCTGGCTAACTTTTGTATTTTTAATAGAGACGGTGGTTTCGCCATGTTGGCCAGGCTGGTCTTGAATTCCTAACCTCAAAAGATCTGACCGCCTCGACCTCCCAAAGTGCTGTGATTATAGGCATGAGCCCAGGTTTTTAGCAGTTTGAATATGATATGTTCAGGTGAGGTTTTTTAGGGGTTGAGGGAGTGGTAGAAAAATTTATCCTGCTTGGGTTTCTTAAGATGTGGTTTGATGTCTTTTTATCATTTTTTGAAAATTCTCAGCCATCTTTTCAGACATTTACTCTATTTTTTTCCTCTCTCTTTTTGAGATTCCAGTTACACATATGCTCATTCAGGCATACGTGGACTCAGAATACCTTAGAAAGGAAGCCCCTTCCTAAAATATGCTACCGTATTTATAGAGAAACAGAGGCAGGAAGCATCTAGGTGACCATGTAACAATGGGACCTTCCTTGTTGAATAAATGGCCTTCTTTCCTTGATGGAAGCTGTTGTCCTGTCCTGCAGGCCTCTTGGCAGAGATGCATCCAGCCTCAGCCTTTTGGCAGACACCCTAGTTCATGAGGGCCAGTACAATGCCTGCCCAACACCAGTAGCCATTGTTAGGGTCTCAGGGACCAAGCTGTACCATAGGAGGGCCCTTGGCCCACTGACTGAAATTAGCCCATTGTCCAGTAAGTAAACACAAATTTGCTGGGTCTACTGAAAGAAGGAAGGGAATACATGCCTCAGGTTATCTGAGTTTGCCTTTTCTCATGTACTACCATACCATTTTAACAATTTATGCATCTTAAAGAACATTTCATTTAGTTCATATATTATCTCATTGTTTGTCAAAGCTACATTATAGAATTTTGAATAGATGTAAGCTAATTTATTTAATCTTTAAAATTAATAAACATACTAATGAGCATTTAGAATGTTTCCAATTTATTCCTATTACAACAAATTGCCTCAGTTAACATTTTTGAGCTTACACTTTAATTTCCTTAGGCAAGAATAATTAGGGACTTTTTTTGGTTATTGCTTTTAATTTTCTTTTTGCAGACCTCAGTTGTATTGGAATGAATCAATCATGCTCTTTAGTTATTAAGGCCATATAGTTATTATCCTTACAGCACCTCTCCTTAATTTTTTTAAAAATTATATTATTGTTTTTTACTTATCCCGCCTTCTTATGACTATCATTCTCACCACAGACATCCACTGTCTTGTATATAATATAATCACTTTCTATCCATCCTTTTTTCATTTCCATATATGTATGTCTCCAAGCATATAATGTTGTTTAGAGTAATTTTTATTTATATTAATTTAATTATGCTATAAATTCATTTTTTAAAAGACTTTTTTTCATGCACACTATATTTCTGAAGCCATTTCATGTTGCTCTATGTAGATCCCGCTCATGTATTTTGACCACTCCATAGAATTCAAACATATACAAGTACAGCAGCAGGAAAATTCATGGCACTACAAAATCTGAATCAAAATGCACCTACATTTCCAGTTTGAATAGATTGAGCCAAGGTAGTTTGAAAATGGTTGTACTAACTTAGAATCACAGCGACAGTGTAACGGGGTCCCTATTTCCTCACTTCTTTTCCAAAGTAAGGATTATCAGACTTTTTTTGAATGAAAATGATATTTTGTTGTCCTTTCAACTTATATTTACTTAACCATCAATTTTTGTGAACATATTTTTCTATGTTTGCTGGCAATTGCATTTCTTTTATTGTAAATTTCCTGTTCCAACATATGACCTTCCAATGTCTTCAGCTTGGCAGTATTTTTAGAATTTCAAACTTGAAACTTGGGTGATGGTGAAATCTAAGGTCATCAGTGGATACCATTGATTTATCTATTTAAGACAAACTGCAACGATATTGAGCAAATTAAAAGCTTATGTGCATCATGCTTCCTGGGGCCAATAAAGTAATCATTTGGAAGTCTGTGTTATAAAACTGTAGCATATGAGCGTGAAATTAAGTTAACCAACATGTTCAACCAAAAGTCGTTTAGGGACCATTTTAGTTTAACTGTGATGCAGGCTGGCAGCTTTCCCTAGTTTCAAAACTCACAGCCATGCCCACTTCCTGTTCATCAGGCATATGCAATTTGTCTTGGAGCTTTGTGGAGAGCTAGACATATGACATGTCAGGACACATCTGGTACATTAGAAGGATTTCTCTTCGCTTCTCCCCTCCCTCTTTCCTTCTAGTCTTCTTGCCTTTACTGGAGACAGAATGCATCTCCTTACAAAACAGGCCTCAGATCTCCATCCCTTTTGTCAGTTTTTGTTGACTCGTCTTAATGTTCCGTTAGGGCTCCACCTCCTTCTCTGACAACTCAGCATTTGCCTGATGTGACATCTTCAAGAGTCTTTAAGACAGGCGAAGGAGGTGAAAGAGAGGGCAGTGTGGGGGGGAGAAATGAGAGAGGCCAGGCCTATCAGCGTCACAAAGCATCTGTCAAGAAGAGATTGAATTAGTCCCTGGTCCTTGATGGAAGCTGCTGTCTTGTCCTTCAGGCCTCTTGGCAGAGCTGCATCTAGCCTCACCCTTCCGGCAGACAGGCTGGGTCACGGAAGCCAGCACAATGCCTCCTCAACACCAGTAGCCATTGCTGGGGTCTCAGGGGCCAAGCTATACCATAGGAGGACCCTTTTTCTGCTGAGTACCTGGATGGATTCGAGGTGCAAGTTTGAGGCGGAGCTGGGAATCCTGGAGGGAGAGAAAAGGTCATGAGTCTGGGGTCTGCTCAGGGTCAGGCAAAGGGAAAAATGCTCTGTGGCAGAATGGCTCCTTTTAGAAGGGAATGTGTAATAAAATTTGAAGTTAGCAATTGTGTTCCAGGCAAGGTAAATCTCTTTCTCCCTCTTTCTATTGAATCCTAGGTAAAGTGACAACACTGAAGAGTATTTGTGCCGGGGGGAGTCTGTACAGGAACAATAATGAGCCTAGTATGTGCACCTAGTGTGTGCTAGGAAGGATACATTTCATAGTTATTGTTACTTAATTATACAATACTTCCATAAAATATTTTTATCTCCAATTTACTTCACAATCATATTTTTACGTTATAATATTCTTGCAAAGACCTCATAAACTGTTTTCTCTGTTCCAGTCAAGACTGATTTGTTTTGCAAAGAAGAGTAACCTACTTAAATTAGCTGAAGAAAGGTGGTGTCTCAGTAGGTTATGAGGGAGTGTCACGGAAAACAAAAGCAGGAAATTGGGTTTTGTCTCATGGGAAGTGGAAAGCCATTGGACCACACCTACCTTTCTCTCCATCCCTGGGCTATATGTCCTCCCTGCAAATCTGCTCTCTCCTCCAGCCTGTCTCTGAAAATGGGTTTCCACTGCCAACTTTCCAGCTTGCACATGGATAAAAACAGACCTCAAGGCTGGCAGCTGCAGGCTTACTAATCTCACTGGAGATTTTGTGTCTCCTAGTTTTAAGATTAATCAGAGAATCTGATTGGCTCATCAAAGATCAGGTGGCCACATCTCATCTAGTCATCTGTGGCCAGGAGAGGGCACCCTTGGAAGAGCAGAGCTTCAGCAGGCACTGAGGTGGTGTCTGCTCTAGTGTCTGCTACAAGGCCCATTTGACAGATGACAAAACCGAGGTTCAAAAATGGAAGTGCTTTGACTCTAAGGAGCAGGTAATAAAGTAACTAACCAAGGACACTAATGGAGGGGACCAGTGGTAAAGATTTGGTGGAGGTGAAAAGATACACATCTGTTATGTGTCAGTTAAAAAATAAAATTGAGAAGCAGCTCCATGGCACTCACAGAGGGAAACAAAATGAGTGAGTGAATACAGCATTGTCAACTGAAATATTCACATTGGGACTGATCAGGGAAACAACACAACTCATGGAGAACAACCCATGGGTGATGGCCCACCTGAGAGCTGCATGGAGCCAAGGAAACCGCCGCCCCCACCCCCACCAGCCAAGGGAAGTGGTGAATGAATATGTGACCCTGGGAAACCGTGCTTCTCCCATGAATCTTTGCAACCCATGGATCAGGAGATCCCCTCATGAGCCCATGCCACCAGGGTCTTGGGGCTGACACACAGCGCTGTGTAATCTTGGCAGAACAGCTGCTCAGGCACACACAGAGACCCAGGAGCTTTACATACTCTGGCCCCAGGATCCCCAACAAATGTGTCTGCAACTCAGGCAAGGCAGGAGGTCCACACATATCCCTAGGAAGAGGGTAGAATCCAGAAAGTCAAGCAATGTCATTCTGTAGGTCCTCCTTCCATGGCACCTCACAAGATAAGACCCACTGACTTGGAATTCCACCCAGCCAATGGCAACAGGGTGAAGCCTGCCTAAGATGGGCCGGAGCCCCTCTGGGGAGGGGCAGGCACCATTTCTACTGTTAGGTTGACTCAGCTGTTCCAGCCTGTGGGCTTTGGAGGGTCCAAACAATCTGGAGGAGGAAGGGTCCCCCCAGCAGCGCACCACAGTGGCTTTGCCAGATTGTGATCAGACTGCTTCTTTAAGTAGAGCCCCTGATCCATTTCTTCTCACTGGGTGGGACCTCCCAGTCAGGGCCTCCAGTCACTTCTGCCCACACGTATTAGGGAAAGAGTTCTGCTCTCTCTCTGGGATAGGGGAGGGCCGCCACCTGGGTTGATTGGATGACTTGGCTGTTCCAGACTGTGGGCTTTGGAGACTCCAAGACAGCAGGGGCAGAAGCAACTGTTTTGGGGAGGTGTGGCCAGACTGCTTTTTAAAGCAGGACCCTGATCTACTTCTCTTCATGGGGTGGGTCCTCCCAGCCAGGGCCTATGGCCACCCTGCCCATGCTCTATAGGGCTCTAATTACTCCCTGGAATGAGTGCCTGAGAGACAGGGCAGGGAGCAATCTTGGCTGGGGCTTCTCAGCCAGTCCAGTCTGTGGGCCTTGGGGAGCCCAAACTGATTGGGGTCTGAAGGGATACCCAACACAGCACAGCTTCTCTGCAAAAAGTAGCCATACTGCTTGTTTAAGTAGGTACCTGATCCCATTCCTCTTGATGCAGTAAGACTTCCCAACCAAGGTCCCCAGCCACCTCATACAAGTGTGTTCAGGCCAGCAATAGGTCAGTACACCCATGGGATGGAACTTCCAGAGGAAGGGGCAGGCTGCCATCTTTGCTGCTTTGCAGCCTTCGTGCATGATACCTCCAGGGACAGGAAGAAGCAAGGCAGCTAGGGTCTGGAGCAGACCCTCAGCAAACTGCAGCAGCCCTAGGAAGAGTGGCCAGACTATTAAAAGAAGAACAAAAAAAAACCCAGAAAACAACAACAACAACAAAACCACAAAATTCCCATCCAAAGGTCAGTAATCTCAAAGAATGAAGGTAGATAAGCACACAAAGATGGGAATAAATGCAAAAATGCCAAAAACTCAAAAATCTAGAGTGCCCCTTCTCCTTCAAATGACAGTAACATCTCTCCAGCAAGTTCTCAGAACTGGGCTGAGGCTGAGATGGCTGAAATGACAGAAGTAGGCTTCAGAATGTGGATAATAATGAATTCTGCTGAGCTAAAGGAGCATGTTGTAGCCCAGTGCAAAGAATTATGATAAAAACAATACAGGAGCTGAAAACCAAAATAACCAGTTTCGAGAGGAACATAGTCGACCTGTTAGAGTTGAAAAACACACTACAAAAGCTTCACAATGTAATCACAAATATTAATAGCAGAATAGATCAAGCAGAGGAAAGAATCTCAGAGCTTGAAGATTGACTTTCTGAATTAAGACAGGCACACAAGAATAGAGAAAAAAAAAAAGACTGAAAAGGAATGAACAAAACCTCTGAGAAATATGGGATAATGTAAAGAGACTGAATCTATAACTGATTGGGGTACCTGAAACAGAGAGGGAGAATGAAACCAAGTTGAAAACATACTTCAGGATATCATTCAGGAGAACTTCCCTAACCTAGTAAGAGAGGCCAACATTCAAGTTCAAGAAATCCAGAGAACCTCAGTAAGATACTCCATGAGAAGATCATCCAAAGCCATATAATCATCAGATTCTCCAAGGTTGAAATGAAAGAAAAAATGTTAAGGGCAGCCAGAGAAAAAGACCAGGTCACCTACAAAGGGAAGCCCAACAGACCAACAGGGGATCTACCAGTGGAAACCCTAACAAGCCAAAAGAGATTGGGAGCCAATATTTAACACTCTTAAAGAAAATAATTTCCAACCCAGAATTTCATATCTGGCCAAACTAAGCTTTGTAAGCAAAGGGGAAATAAGATCCTTTTCAGATGAGCAAATGCTGAGGGAATTTGTTACCATTAGAACTGCCTTGCAAGGGCTCTTGAAGGAAGCACTAAATATGGAAAGGAAAAACTGTTACCAGCCACTACAAAAACACACTGAAGTACACAGATCAGTGACACTATGAAGCAGCTACATGAACAAGCTTGCAAAATAACTAGCTAGCATCATGATGACAGGATCAAATCAACACATAACAATACTAACCTTAAATGTAAATGGGCTAAATGCCCCAATTAAAAGACACAGAATGGCAAACTGGATAAAGAACCAAGACCCATTAGTATGCTATTTTCAAGAGACCCATCTCACATGCAAAGACACATCTAGGCTCAAAATAAAGGGATGGAGGAAAATTTACCAAGCAAATGGAAAACAGAAAAAAGCAAAGGTTGCAATCCTAGTTTCTGACAAAACAGACTCAAAACCAACAAAAATAAAAAAAGACACAGGAGAACAGTACATAATGGTAAAGGGTTCAATTCAACAAAAAGAGGTAACTATTTGTAATATATATGCACCCAATACAGAAGCACCCAGATTCATAAAGGCAGTTTGTAGACACCTTCAAAGAGACTTAGACTCTTTAATAATAGTGGGAGACTTTAACACTCCACTGACAATATTAGACAGATCACTGAGACAGAATTAACAAAGATATTCAGGATCTGAACTCAGCACTGGATCAAGTGGACTGGAAAGATATCTACGCAACTCTCCACCCCAAAACAACAGAATATATATTCTGCTCATCACCACATGGCACTTACTCTAAAATTGATCACATAATGGAAAGTAAAACACTCCTCAGCAAATGCAAAAAAAAAAAACCTAAAATTATAACAGTCTCTCAGACAATGGCACAATCAAATTAAAACTCAAGATTAAGACATTCACTCAAAACCACACAGCTACATGGAAATTGAACAACATGCTCCCAAAGACTCTTGGGTAAATAATGAAATTAAGACAGAAATCAAAAAGTTCTTTGAAACTAATGAGAACAAAGATACCACATACCAGAATCTCTGGGTCACTGCTAAAGCAGTGCTAAGAGGAAAATGTATAGCACTAAATGCCCACATCAGAAAGCCAGAAATTTCTCAAGTTAACAACCTAACATCACAACTAAAAGAACTAGAGAAGCAAAGCAAATAAACCCCAAAGGTAGCAGAAGACAAGAAATAACCAAGATCAGAGCTGAATGGAAGGAGATAAGACATTAAAAACTCTTCAAAAATCAATGAATCCAGTAGCTGGGTTTTTGAAAAAATTAATAAAAGAGACCACTAACAAGGCTAGTAAAGAAGAAAAGAGAAGATTCAAATAAACACAATCAGAAACATTAAGAGAGATATCACCACTCACCCCACAGAAGTATAAACAACCATCAGAGAACACTATTAATACCTCTATGTACATAAACTAGAAAATATAAAAGAAATGGATACATTTCTGGACATATACACCCTCCCAAGACTGAACCAGGAAGAAATTGAATCCATGAATAGACCAATAATGAGCTCTGAAATTGAGGCAGTAATAAATAGCCTGCCTACTAAAAAAAGCCCAGGACCAGAAGGATTCACAACTGAATTCTACCAGAGGTACAGAGAGGGGCTGGTACCGTTTCCGGTGAAACTATTCTAAACAATTAAAAAAGAGCGATCCTCCCTAACTCATTCTATGAGGTTAGCATCATCCTGATACTAAAACCTGCCAGAGATACAGCAATGAAAAGAAAACTTCAGAACAATATCCTTGATGAACATTGATTCAAGAATCTTCAACAAAATACCAGCAAACCAAAATCAGCAACACATCAAAAAGCTTATCCACTACAATCAAGTCAGCTTCATTCCTGAGATACAAGGTAGGTTCAACATATGCAAATCAATAAATGTGATTCATCACATAAACAGAGCTAAAGACAAAATCAACGTGATTATCTCAATAGATGCAGAAAAGGCCTTCTATAAAAGTAAATGTTCCTTCATGTTAAAAACTCTCAATAAACTAGGTTTCAAAGGAACATACCTCAAAATAATAAGAGCCATATATGACAAACCCAAGCCAGTATCATACTGAATGGGCCAAAACTGGAAGCATTCCCCTTGAAAACCAGTACAAGACAAAGATGCCCTCTCTCGCCATTCCTATTCAACATAGTATTGAATGTTCTGACCAGGACAACACATGCAAGATAAAGAAATAAAGTGTATTCAAATAGGAAAAGAGAAAGTCAAACTATCTTTGTCTGCAGATGATGTAATCCTATATCTAGAAAACCCCATTGACTCGCCCAAACACTTCTTAAGTTGAAAAGCAACTTCAGCAAAATCTCAGGACACAAAATCAATGTGCAAAAGTTGCTAGCATTACTGTACACAAACAACAGGCAAACTGAGAGCCAAATTATGAATGAACTCCCATTCACAATTGCCACAAAAATAATAAAATACGTAGGAATACAGTAAACAAGGGAAGTAAAGGATTCTTATAAGGAGAGCTATAAACCACTGCTTAAAGAAATCAGAGAGGACACAAACAAATGGAAAAACATTTTATGCTCATGGATAGGAAGAATCAATATCATTAAAATGACCATACTGCCCAAAACAATTTATAGATTTAATGCTATTCCCATTAAACTACCATTGACATTCATCACAGAATTAGGAAAAAAAAACTATTTTAAAATTCATATGGGACAACAACAAAAAAACCTTAAATAGCCAAGACAATTCTAAGCCAAAAGGATAAAGTTGGAGGCATCACGCTGCTGGACTTCAAACTACACTGCAAAGCTACAGTAATCTAGACAGCTTGGTATTGGTACAAGAACAGACACATAGACCAATGGAAAAGAATAGAGAACCCAGAAATAAGACTACATACCTGCAACCACCTGATCTTTAACAAACCTGACAAAAACAAGCAATAGGGGACAGGGTTTCCTGTTTAGTAAATGGTGCTGGAAGAACTGGCTAGCCATATGCAGAAAATTAAAACTGGACCCCTTCTTTATACCATATACAAAGATCAGCTCAAGATGGATTAAAGACTTAATTGTAAAACCCAAAACTATAAAAACCCTGTAAGAAAACCTAGGCAATACCATTAGGTACATAGGCATGGGCAAAGATTTCATGATGAAGACGCCAAAAGCAATTGCAACAAAAGCAAAAATTGACAAATGGGATCTAATTAAACTGAAGGGCTTCTGCACAGCCAAAGAAACTATCATCAGACAACCTACAGAATGAGAGAAAAATTTTGCAAACTATACATCTGACAAAGGTCTAATATGCAGCATCTACCAGGAACTTAAACAAATTTACAAGAAAAAAACCCCAAACAACCCTATTAAAAAGTGGGCAAAGGTTATGAACTGACACTTAAAAGAAGACTTACATGTGGTCAACAAACATCTGAAAAGAAGCTCAATATCACTCATCATTGATCATTGGAGAAATGATTTTCATGGTGTTCTTTCCATTTTGCAACTATTGCTCAAGCTTCAGACCCAAAAGCGCACTAACTTTAAAGTCACAGACCCGTGAGTTCCAGTTTCAGCTGAGAGACTGTGAGCACATCTAACCCACTCTGATCCTGTATCCCAGTTTTAAAATCACCTATTTCCCATCAGTCGGGAGGCTGGAGAGAAAAGTGCCACTCTGTGCCCAGTACACAGTAGGGGCATAGGAAGCTTAAGCTCTGTTGCTTCCCCACTATCCTAACGTATTAGGGGAAAGACAGAGATGTGGGGAATGGCACCTGGGAGCCTCCAGCTGTATGCTTCACAATCCTACCTAGTGAAAAATCTGAATTAGGCTTCAGTTACCCGTCTACAAAATGAGGCAGGACAGGCGTGGGTAGGAAGAGGAGGAGCTGGGCTTTGTTGGTTTAAGCTGAGCCCGTCTAATTCTGTCACGTGGACTTCACTATCAGGTCCAGCCCACTCCCCAGTCGGGGCTTCTCCTGCTCTGAATGTCTTTTAGCCAAGGCCAAGTCTGTCCAGGGTCGGGGTGGGGAGAAGCACTTTCCCCACGTAACCTGCAGGTGGCAGGAGAGCAGCGCGGGAGCCGGGGGTTGCGCTCCAGCCTTCCTGGAGACCTGGGCAGGGCGAGGGTAGGGCGAGGCAGAGGTGGTGCGCACCGTTCATCTGGGCAGCGGCAGGAGCGGGACTGTGAATCAGTTCACACCGTTTAAAATAGACACACGGGTCTTCTGGCTAATTTCCCCTCTTTGGTAGGGTGATCATATGCTTTATCACCCAAATCCAGACGCTTCGGAGAGTGAAAGGGGGCACTAAAATAATTGCACTGGGACAGCAGACCTAACCTTAGCTGTACCTTGCAAACCAGAACATGTGGTCACCCGACCCTTTGGTCACTTTTTCTTCCTTGTTTCCTTTCTTTTAATTTGTTTTTCTTTTTAAACACACAGCGTTCCCTTCCCGAGCACCATTGTCTTTGAAAATGCACTTAAAGTATAATAATAAATTTTAAAAAAAGAAAAAAGAAAAAAGAAAATGCGCTTGCAATCGGGATATTTTCGACCAGGCAACATCTGCTTTCCCATCTTGAGTCTGAACAGGCTCTCTGAACCCACCCCAAAGGCTGGTTTTAGCTTCCAGTCAGAAGACTCTGTTCCCTGGCTTGCCATCCCCATGAGTCAAGAATTACAGATGTCAGACGTGGAACAGTGACCCTTATGTCAACTTTGTTGCCTCTTTGCTAAATTTATTCCTGCAAATTTTTTTTTTTTTTTTTTTTTTTTTTTTTTTGAGATGGAGTCCCTCTCTGTCGCCCAGGCTGGAGTGCAGTGGCGCTATCTCGGCTCACTGCAACCTCCGCCTCCCAGGTTCAAGTGATTCTCCTGCCTCAACCTCCCAAGTAGCTGGTACTATAGGTGTCCCCCACCAGGCCTGGCTAATTGTTCTATTTTTAGTAGAGATGGACTTTCACCACTTTGGCCAGGCTGGTCAGAAACTCCTGACCTCAGGTGATGTGCCCGCCTCAGCCTTCAAAATGCTGGGATAACAGGCATGAGCCACCGCGCCCCGCCCTATTCCTGTAATTTTGTTCTGAGTGCTCATGTCCTTTGTCTCTTTGCATTTACGTATATTGGTTTATTGAATTGCAAGTAGACACGTCCCATTAAGCAGGATTCTTATATTTCCAAGATCATGCCTTACTCCAACTCCAAACTAGCATGCTGTTTATCCCCTTGTTTCTGAACCCTCTTCACTTAGTCTCATAAACATCCATCCGTTGCAAAAAGGACTTCAACTTTCCTCACTTCCACTTTTAGTTGATTCATTGCTATCCAATGATTTGTCTGGGGGAGTCATTAGTAAAGAATTGTGCCCTTAAATTTATTTTTATAGTTGGATTCCACTAGTTAATATATCTCTCTCTGTCATTCTCAAATTGCAACAAATGGCTATGGGTTTCTGTCTCAACCTGAAATCTAGATTAGAAATTTGGTTTTATCTGAATAAGGTAGTAATAGATAATGTGAGGAAAAAATTAATTTACTGAAACTTTTCTCAGCTAAGAATGACACTCATAGTCACAAATATGTATGTAAGGAAGCGGAAAATTGGGCTGTAAATATATAAACTCTTTTTTTTTTTTGAGACGGAGTCTTGCTCTGTTGCCCACGCTGGAGTGCCATGGCTGGATCTCAGCTCACTGCAAGCTCCGCCTCACGGGTTTACACCATTCTCCTGCCTCAGCCTCCCGAGTAGCTGGGACTACAGGCGCCCACCACCTCGCCTGGCTAGTTTTTTGTACTTTTTAGTAGAGACGGGGTTTCACCATGTTAGCCAGGATGGTCTCGATCTCCTGACCTCGTGATCCGCCCATCTCGGCCTCCCAAAGTGCTGGGATTACAGGCTTGAGCCACCGCGCCTGGCCTATAAACTCATAAAATACTATGTTTAGAGACAAGATTTTCCTTTTTCTTTTTTTCTTTTTAGTAAAGTGTATTTGCTATGGTTGGAATGATTGTGTCTTTTCCAAAATTCATGTTGCAACTTAAGCCCCAATGTGATAGTATTAAGAGGTGGAGTCTTTAGATGATTAAGTTGTGAGGGAAGAACCCCCCCATGAGTGGGATTAGTGACCTTCTGGAAGGGCTTGAGGGACCTACCTGGCTTGGTTTTCTTCTTTTGTTTTTCTGTCCTTTCCACCATGTTAGGACAGAGCGTTTCTCACCTCTGGAGGACTCAGCATTCAAGGTGCCATCTCGGAAGCAGAGAGCAGCCCTCACTAGACTACAAACTTGCTGGCACCGTGATCTTGGACTTCCCAGCCATCAGAACTGTGAGAAATAAATTTTTGTTCTTTACCCATTATCCAGTCTCAGATATTTTGTTATAGCAGCACAAATGGACTAAGACAGTATCTTATGTAGAGTGAGGTGCATAATATACCTTAAGTTACAACTCTGTGCTTTTTTTTTTTTTTTTTTTTTTTTTTTTTTTTTTTTGAGACAGTCTTGCTCTGTCACCCAGGCTGGAGTGCAGTGGCATGATCTCGACTCACTGCAACCTCTGCCTCCCGGGTTCAAGAGATTCTCCTGCCTCAGCCTCCCAAGTAGCTGGGATTACAGGTGCCCACCACCATGCCCAGCTAATTTTTGTATTGTAGTAGAGATGGGGTTCCACCATGTTGGCCAGGCTAGTCTCAAACTCCTGACCTCAAGTGATCCACCTGCCTCGGCCTCCCAAAGTGCTGGGATTACAGGTGTGAGCCACCGTGCCTGGCCAACTCCATACTATTTATGTATGTGCACACTCCTGTAACTACCAGTCAGCTTGAGACATAGAATATGCTCCCATCACCGCAGAGGGCTCCCTCTTGCCCCTTCTCAGTTGCTGTCCTCCTCAAAGTTAACCACAATACTGGCCTCAGTCACCGTGGATAACTTTGCCTGTTTTTGAACTTCATATAAATGAAATAATTCAGTATTTGCACGTTTGTGGCTGGCTTCTTTCATTCAACATAATCCTGTGAGATTTAGCCATGGTTTGGGTACTGGTAGTTATTTTTCTGTGGGGTTTTCCGTACTGCATCTATTACCCTTCTATTTTTATCTCGAACTCAGTGTCCTGTGGGGTCTATTAGTTCTTTTTGGCTAGATTGATATTAAACATCTTATCAATGAAGCTTAGGAAATTTTTAGAAGACAAAAGCCCAGTAAACCCAAGACCTGCAACCTTAAGCCAAGTTTCCTTCTCACGCCTGCTTCAGTTGCTCTTCTTCGTGTGCCCTTTTTTCCTCGCAAAGCTGATGGAAATTAAGAAACCCAAAATCTCGTTATCATGTTATCAGCTTAGGGATGCTTGTCATCTGAATAACAGGGTGAATATTTATAATCTGAAATGTTAAGATAACAATACCAAACACGTACATAGCACAAACTGCTGTTCAAAGCACTTTACATTTATTATTTTCCTCAAGACAACTGTATGAAATAGACACTATTTTTGTCACCCCACATTTTAGAATGGGAAGTTGAGGCACAGAGGGGCCATGTAACTTTCCCAAGGTGGTAGAGCCAGGACTTGAACCTGTGTTTTCTGGTTTTGGAGCCTGCAGACTTCACCGCCACACCATATTGTGTAGCATGATACTTCATATGGTTAAAGTGTTTTCTTGTATTCGCCTGGGAGCATTTTCTGAATAATTTGAATCTTATAAATGTGCTTCAAAGAATACAAGTAAATTGAAATGGAAGATCTAATATAGAATGTGTGGCATTCATGAATAAATTATAGGACTTTCTGTTTTGTTTTTTTTTTTTTTTTTTTTTTTTTTTGGAGACGGAGTCTTATTCTCTCACCCAGGCTGGAGTGCAGTGGCACAATTTTGGCTCACTGCAAGCTCTGCCTCCTGGGTTCATGCCTTTCTCCTGCCTCAGCCTCCCGAGTAGCTGGGACTACAGGCGCCCGCCACCATGCCTGGCTAATTTTTTTGCATTTTTGGTAGCGACAAGGTTTCACTGTGTTAGGCAGGATGGTCTCAAACTCCTGACTTTGTGATCCACCCACCTCGGCCTCCCAAAGTGCTGGGATTACAGGCGTGAGCCTCCGCGCCCAGCCAGGACTCTCTGGTTTTAAATAACAATTATGTGCTTATCTTCTTCCTTTTGTCAGGCAAGGCTGTAATGTGCTCGCCTCACTTTCCTTCTCTTCAATAAGAGAAGATGGGCTCAGAGATAGGCACAACTGATCGTAAAATCTCATCACACGTTCTGTCACCATCTGGAAGCTGGAGATAGGTTTGTGAAATCTTGGTTGAGAAGAGTTGAATGCCACTTGTAGCATAGCGAGTTTTAAAAAGATGGTTTTACTCTCCAGTTCTGTTGCACAGGGCCCTGTGAGTTTTGTCAACTAACGTATCTGACCAACAGTTTTCTCACAAAGATTATCAGGGTTCAGAGGAAATTATCTTCCAGTTTTATTCTGCTGCTAAAGTGCTGTATTTCTTTATAGATGAACTAATCAGTTCTTGGTCACTTGCTTTTCATTAGACATTTCTCTGCCTCTTTAGGGTGTGCTTTATGTCTTTTTATGCCCGGGCCCAGGTTTTTCCTTCTAACTGCAAGAAAAAGATCATTGAAATTTTCTCTCTCAAACTTCTAGGTTCAAGTGATCTTTGCCTCTGCCTCCTGAGTAACTGGCATTACAGGTGTGTACCACTGTACGCACACACACATACACAAACATGCATATAGACACGCAGACATTCACATGTATACACACATGCAGAGAAATACACATATCCACACATACTAATTAGATAAACATTTACACACACCAACACACACGTGCACACACACATATACACACCTTGTTTCCGTCTTCTTCTCAGGACTCAGGGCTCTCAGACAGTGGACACAGTCTTGTACCATGAGTCGAGGACCAACTGTGCAACCTTGCCCAAGTGTCTTCCCTTTTGAGGTCTTGTTTATAATAATAAACATCCTTACCCACCAATTAGGGTTATTCTGAAGATGAAACAGAAAAAATAACAGAACAATGGCATGTTGTATAGTAAAACAAACAAACAAACAAACAAGCAATTAGCCTTGAACAAAAAGAGGTCTGGCCTTTGTTCTAGACTCCTGGGAGGTAACCATCAACATGTAATACCTGATAGGAATACCTTTGCCTGGGGATCCTGGGTCTTGATGGATAGTCTAATAAGGAGATTTAAGGTGGAGACTAACCAGACCAGGAAAACAGACTGTGATTTAGAGTCTGGGCTTCAGGTCACCCCTGGAAGGACTGGAGACTGGAAACTGAGAGCAGCTATGTGGACAATCCAGCATGCCTCTGTGATGAAGTTCCAGTAAAACCCTGAATGCGGAGGCTTGAGGGAGCCTCACCGGCTGGGAATATTCCATGTGTACTGGCACATATCAAAGCCAGGAGGGTAATGCCCTCTGACTGGATAGGGAGGGGATAATGGACACTCAGTGCCTGGTGCCCTCCTGGACTCAGCCCTATGCCTTTCTTCCCCGGCTGATTTTAATTTGTCTCCTTTCTGTGTAATCAAACTGTAACTGTGAACATGACAGCTTTCTGTGAGTTGTATCCGGTTCTTAGAGGTGAGCAAGCAGAGCTGATCTACTGCCTGCCTGGAAAAACTCTTTTAAAATCCCTAAACCAAAGAAGGCCAGAGCTTTCATGAATCTGACCCAACAGAGTTTAAAGCCAAAGTTGAAGACATTTGAAGCCAAAGCCAGGCCAGACAGAGATTAGGCTCCTGGGAGGGAACAGGTGCAGTCCTGCTCAGGCTGCAGTGTCCCTGGGCTACAGCTGGACAAGGGCTCCTTTGGGTCACAGCCTTTAGGGACAGGGGTTTGGAACTGGTCAACTATCTGATTTGTAGGACTCTGTTGCTGAGCTCAGCTGGGAAACTGTGTGGTAATGGGAAGAGAATGGTTTTGCTTTTCCAAATCATCTACCCCCTGCATGCTTTGATCCACATTGGAACGCAGTGTGGAAACTGCCTTTGAACAGCCTAAGCCTGAACTCTGGGCCATGTGTCCAGTTTTTTGGCCTCTAGCTTTGTTCAGTCCTTACCCATACCCATCACTGATGCCACATCTATCCTCCTAAATATCCTTTTCATCATGTTACCCTCCCCACCACCTCATGGCACCTTCTACACAACAAGAAATGTCTCCAACCTCAGCCTGGCATTCAAGGCTCTTTCTGATGTGGCCCAACTCTCTCCCCGTGTGCCTGCCAAATTGGATCAATTTTTTCTATTCATGAGCTGAACTTTCCCACTTCCATTCTGTTGCTTACACTGTGACCTTCCCGTGAATGTGCTCTTTCTCCCTCTCCCCAAGTCCAAATTCTATAGACTGAATTGTGTCTCCCCAAAATTCTTATGTTGGACCTGTAACCCCCTATGATTATATTTGGAAGTAGGGCTCCTAGCAGGGAATTAAAGTTAAGTGAGGGAGGAGGGGCAGAGCAAGATGGCTACATAGTAGTCTCTATCAATCATTCCCCCTGCAGGAAAGTCAAATTTGACAACTGTCTACACCAGGAAACCATCTTCGTAAGAACCAAAAATCAGGTGAGGACTCACAACACCTGCTTTTTAACTTCATATCACTGGAAAAGGCACTGAAGAGGGTGGGAAAGACGATCTTGAAACACCAATGTCGCACCTCCCCCCTGCCCCAGCAGTGGCTGCTGTGGTGCTTAGAGAGAATCTATGCACTTGGGGTAGGGAGAATGCAGCAACTGTGGGACTTTGCATTGAACTCAGTGCTGCCCTATCACAGCAGAAAGCAAAACCAGGTGGAACGCATGTGACACCTGCCCATGGAGGGAGCATTGAGACCAGTGCTACCCAGAGGGGTCACCCATCCCAGTAGTTAGGAGGCTTGAGGCTTGTGTTTTGACAAGCCGTGGCATGGCAGGCTATTATGCTCTGGGGCCCTATTTAAACTTGAAAGGCAGTCTAGACCATAAGGACTTCAACTCCTAGGCAAGTCCTAATGTCATGCTGGGCTCAGAGCCAGTGGACTCAGAGGGCACATGACCTAGTGAGACACCAGCCTGGGCAGCCAAGGGAGTGCTTGCACCACCCCTCCCCCAACCCCAGGCAGTGCAGCTTGCAGCAACAAAAGTGACTTCTTCCTTTTGCTTGAGGAGAGGAGGGGGAAGAGTAAAGAAGACTTTGTCTTACATCTCGGATACCAGCTCAGCCAGAGTGGAAGAGAACACTAGTCAGAGTTGAGAGGCCCACATT